GGGCCCAAATGGAGGTGGCCCCGGGTACAGCTATGCAGGAGGGACCCAGGAGAGGGCAGGAGCTGGGCAAGGCGGCTCTGGGGCTTCCTTTACAGGAAGCAGAGGAGCCAGGAGCCACGCCCCAGGGCCCAGCAGGAGCCATCCGCCACCCTGGCCACTGAGGAGCCCCCAACCGGCCCAGGACATGGGCAACTCTGGCACCAGCACCTGCAGCTCCACCTACTCCCGAGGGGCCAGCAGCTCCTCCATGGGGTCTGACAGACCTGGGGCCGAAGGGTCCCTCTTTGCAGGTGAGGGGAGACCCAGGGGAAAGGGAGGAGGACTTGGGCGGTGGGGGACTAGTAACAACAAGGCGCCAGGACTGACCCACGTGAGCCCCACTGGCCCAGTGGGGATGGCACAGCCACGCCCTGCAGCAGATGCTGGGCGGAGTCGGGGGAGGTCCAGCCTCCCCTGATTTTGTGCAGGGGGGGAGCTGACTACCATGGGGCCCTGAGGCTGATGGGGCTGAGGGCGTCTCTGGGAGGGGCAGGGTGGGGCCCTCTCTGCCATGGGGCTCCTTGCAGAGGAGGGGGGAACTTTAAGCCTTCGCTCTCCACTGCATCCCCCCAGCAGCAGCAGGAATTATCCTTTCTCCTTCTTTCCCAGGTGCAGAGCCCCCAGTGCCCAGCTGCGGGGGGTGGAGGAGGAGGAGGAGGATGTGTCCCCAGAACAAGCCACCATCAGGGTCATCCAGCAGCACCTCCAAGGCAGAGATGAGGTACAAAAATGCCCCAGCTGTGCTGCCACCAAATCTGTCCTGCCCCTTGATCCATCCCCACCCACGTAGGGGGGTCTTGTCCCAGAGAAATCATCACCCCTAATGGGGGCACTTGGCACCCCAAAGTGTGGGTGTTTGCCATGCACAGGCCATGGTATCCTCTCCCCGCAGACACTGTCCCAGTTACAACCCCTGTCTGTGCAGGGTGACACTGGTTTCAGGAAGGGGCGGCTTTCCGTGTCCAACCCCGTGAAGGTCCTGAGCTCTGGAGCTGTTTTGGGTTGGGCGGGTAGGTCCCAAAGTAACAGGTTCTCTCTCTCGCTCTCTCTCTCTCCCCCCACCCCACTCCTAGTGGGTGGAGGACAGGGCCAAACAGCTCCAATTCTTCCACGTTGTCCCGAGTCTGTGTTTCTCGGCACAGCAGCAGGGGCGGGACACTCTGGAGCCCCACTTCTCCAAAGCGGCCCTTGTGGAGAGCATTGCAGTGAGTGGGACAGCTTTCCCTGTCCAACCCCATGGAGGTCCTGAGCCCTGGAGCTGCTTTGGGTGGAGCAGGGAGGTCCCTTCCTAACACGCTCTCTCTCTCTCCTCCCACCCCACTCCTAGTGGGTGGAGGACAGGGCCAAACAGCTGGTTGGGGGTGGATGGGAGGAATGGGGGGCCCAGCTGGTTGGGGGTGGGGGTGACACTGGCTGTTTCTGAAGGGCACTTTGGCCTCCTCTCTGGGAAGCGCCTGTGGGTCTGCAGGGCCTGAATCTCACATGCAGTTTTGTCTCCTTGGGGTTTCCCAGAAGCTGATTGAAAATCTCCCCATGTTGTCCAAGCCAAGCTCCATCGTTTCCAGCTCCATGGCCGCGGTTTGCAGCCTCAGGTACCAGGACCCTCCTGTCCAGCTGCCCGAACCCTGGTACTGATCGGACCCAGAGCTGGGAGTCACAGATCCTCCTCCAGCTAGGTTACCCCCAGCTGTGGCTGTTCCCATCCCCCAGCAGAGGAGGCGGGAACGTCCCCTCTTTCCTGGCTGGGGGGTTGATTTCACTCCAGGAATATTACAGTGGCCGTGGGGAGGGGATCACTGTCGGGGAGGACGGTCATGTCCGCGGCAGTGCTAGCACCACTCCGGTGCTGCAAAGTGTAGCACGGGCTCCTCTCTTCTGCCAGCAAACTGAAGCCGCTGCTTGCCCTGGAGCTGGAGTCACGCCTCCTGCGGGCGCTTCTTTACACCATATTCACCATGGGCACTGGGCAGGACACCACCCACTTCCAGGTAGGTCCTGATCCTACTACTCTGTCCCAGGAGGGAAGGGGAGAGGCTCGTTTGTACAGCATGTACTCCTGCCCGTTCACCCTCCCCTGCCTCCTTCTCCTGCAGCACGTCCATTTCTGGCTCCACTCCAGAGAGACCCAGGAGAGAGCTAGGGTAATACAGAGCAGCGCTAAGGCCTCTCCTTTTAGACCCACTGTAGCGGGGCAGAGGGACCCCAATAGAAACAAGGCCCCTGTTTTGGGGGCCGCCCTTGCTGGGCAATGGGACCCTACAGAATGAAGCCCCCTCCTCTGAGACGGACTCCAGCTTAGATGCTGATTCACACTCCTCTCCCTACTTCAGGGAGAGGGGAAGAGAAAGTAAGTTCCACGGCAATTGGCTGCTGTATCTCAGAGCCTGGCTCTGTCCCGCACCCCAGGGAAATCAGCCCACCCAGGGGGCAGCCAGCTAGTGAGGGGACAGGAATGGAGCTATTGAGACATGTGGAGAGAAAGAGCCCATCATGAGGACAGGGGCAATAGCAGAGACCACAGGGGAAGGACACAAAGCTTGTAGGATGTCACCAGTTGGGTAGCTAGGGCCAGATCCTGACTTCAGAGGGTGTGGAGGATTCTCAGTATTAGATGCCACCATCTGCTCCATCAGAGCTTTTTGAGGCCTCAGTGCCTGCAACCTTTCTGAAGGGGGTTCCTTGGTCCATGGGACCGCAAAGGTTGGCTCTCCCAGGACTCTTCTCCACCTTGTGAGCCACTAGAGGGATTTGGAGCCTGGTTCTGAGCCATTGCAAGGGCTCTGGTTCTGTTGGTTTTAGGTCTTTGGTGAGATATTCACTGAAGATCAGAAAAGAACTTTTCTTCAGGGGGCGCTGCAGGCCATACACCACCCCCTGCTCTATGTCAGCCAGGCTGGGCTGCTGCTCACGTACTCCATCCTGGGGGAAGCCGGCCAGCTGATAGGGGACGAGGTAACCAAAGAGGGATCAACTGGGGAGGGAACCCCAGACCCTTTCACCTCCAGGCCATTGACAGTCACTCCCATCCCATCCCCATGCGCTGACCTGGGAGCAAGGAGAGGATGAACCCAGGCAGGTGCCATTGGTAGGTGCCGGCTTGTCCCCTGAGCAGCTCAAAGCAGGGCAGACCCAGCTCTCCAGCAAGGCTATTTCCTAACAGGCATCACATCAACATGACACGCTGCCATTGCTCATGCTAGGGGCTGCCAACTCCCCTAGCCACCTCTGTGAGCCTTTCATACCGCTCGAGTGCTCTGGGATCATGTTATCCCAGCCACCACCTGCTCTGGGAGAACTGGAGGGTTCAGTCAGCGGAGGCTGCTTAAGTGCCCCATTCACCACAGATACTGTCCATGGCATCACCTTAAGGACGGAGGTGGTGGGGGGTGTCCCTTGGGGAAAGGTGTCCACTTCCTCTCACCCCCCGGCACTACTGCCCAAAGCCTCCCAGCCCCTCAGCTGGAGGGGGCGAGGGCGGCTGAGGGGATTCTGGGGAGCGGAGCTGAATCCCCAGCTGAGTTGGGAGGTAGAACAGCTCTCACGGGGGGACTGAGAGGACTGGGGGCAGGAGTTCATTCCACAATGATGGGAGAGGGGACACTAGAGAAGAGACGAGATTTTGTCTCAGGGGTTGGGTGGGGGAACCGTCCCCCAGACGTGGGGAGGGGTGGGGTGGGGTGGACATTTTGCTGACTCCCAGTGCCTTTAATGTCCTTCTTTACCATGGGTGACCGAGTCTCTGACTGATCCTGGTTCCCTTGCAGCAGGAGGATGTTACAGCAACAATCATGGTGCACCTGTTCAACATCAGGTTCTTGCACCAGGTGCCCGAAGCACTGCAGGGGCTGCGCTCCCGTGGGACACACTTGAAGGGCCCCCCCTTCACATGACCAGAAACTCCCACTCCCTGCCGCAGGTACTGCTCTGTCTCACTGTGCCGGGGCGGGGGGAAGGGTTGGGGGGAGCAGCTATAGACCCCACAGTACTGAGAGAAACCCAGGCCGAGCACCTCGCTCTCACCACCCTGCCCCACCCCGACCCCTGGAGCTAGGGCCAGGCCCAATACTATCCCTGCTCCCAGGCCCAGAAGCCAGGTTCGGAAGCATCAGGCTGTCAGAGCCATGGGACTGGCCCAGAATGAGAGCATCCGCAGAACCAGGGGTTATCCTCAGTAACCCATTGCGGTCTGGGAGTGGTGGCCTGAAGTGGAGTCCCTCCCCTGTCCTCACTGCTCAGACCTTCCCATGGCGCGTGTCACCCCCGACACAGTGAATGTCTGACCGTCCCCCACCTCGGGCCCAATCCACCCACCTGGTATCTGAACCCTTCCCAGCCAGGAATGAAACTCCCCCCTAGCACCCTGGGGCAGGGACGGATCCTCCACATCTGGCAGGTGAGGACTGAGACACAGAGGAAGGGCTGTGGTCCTGGGTATAGATCTGGGAAGTGGACTGGGTCAAAGCCTAGTGCCTTTCCCCCAGGGGCACCTTCGCTTTCTGCCCTTTATTCTCCCCTCCGGCTAGGGAGTCTGCTGGGGGTCAAGAGGGACCAGTCTTTTCAGTAGGGAAGCCATTTGCTGAA